CAAATATACCTGAAGCGAATCTAATATTGTTAGACTTTGGCCAAAAGAAAGTGCGATAAAAAAATTAAATGATGTTATTATACGACGATGTTGAGCTATATATGAAAACTAATAAGTATATTATAAATTAAATGTGTTTTTTGTATTTATACTTTTATTATAGGATAATATTTTTTTCTTATAACGATTAGGCCCCCACTCATTCTATTAGCTAGATTCGCCCCTGAGTATAACAGCTCAATTTTGGTGGAGTAAGAGGAAAGATCAAGAGAAGGGCCTACACTGGAGGAACTGAATCTACTAGCTCTACCAAAAAGGCAAGGCGGGCTGGGGTTCCAAGACATCAAGTGTTTAATGTGGCTTTACTGCTGAAACAATTATGGAGAATCACAAGCTAGCCTGGCCTGCTTGTCTCCCAAATTCTCAAGAGTAGGTATTACCCTAACACATCAATCTTTTAGGCTGCCAGAAAAGAATCATTCTCATGGATCTAGAACAATTGGATGCAAGTGCTACCTATTTTCAAATCATATTGTTGGAGAGAGATTAGATGCAAGTGCTACCTATTTTCAAATCATATTGTTGGAAAGAGATTAGATCAGGCATGAGCACTAAGATTCTGGAAGGTGGTTGGGTGCCAAAACTTGGTGGCATAGAACCAACATTTCAAATAGCAACAGATACCAATCTAATTTGGGTTCAAGAACTTCTTGATGCCTCTGGTAGAAGATGAAACACATAAATGGTGAAACATCTTTTTTCAGATCAGAAGAGTGAAGCAATCCTTGATACTAACACCATTTAACCAAACAGGGAAGATATGTGGAGATGGGCCTTAAACAAAAAAAAGGTTATCCAGTTGCAGACTCTTTACACATTTCTGATTACATAATAGGTGAAGGTACTTGATATTGCAGAAGGAAGTAGGTCTGTGATGGTGGACTCCTCAGTCAGGGACAAAAGCTGGACAGTGAAGGTGAAATGAAGGATCAAATACTTTATATGGAAGTTTTTAACTGGAATTTTGCCTGTGGGGGTGAACTTGAAGAAGAAAGGTGTAGATGTGGATGTGATATGTAAATTGTGTGGAGAGGCAGAAGAAATAGTTGAACATCTTTTTCTTCACTGTTGCGAAGCTAGAATAGTATGGAAATTGACTCTAGTTTCTTGGGAAGGAAATAATTTGTAGAACACTACTTTGAAACATGGTGGTGGTAGCTGTGTGCTTTTGATAAAATTGAAACCTCTGAAGCTCGGATCAAACTTTCTACATACATCCTATGGTAGCTATGGAGGCCTCGAAATCTGCGGTATTTAGTGCAGAGAAACTACCAGAAACTGTCATTCTGAGAAGAGCATTATGAGACCAGGAAGAGTTATGGTACAAACCGTCGTGCAAACCATATGAGATTATTTTTGCATTATAGGCAAAATTACATTTTTAGTCCTGTTGGTTTAACGCTGTAGCATTTTTTGTCCCAAGATTTCAACTTTTTCGTCTTTTGATCCTGTAATTTAGTATTTTGTTGCAATTTCAGTCTTTGGGACTGAAATTGCCTCAAATTTTAAAATTACAAGACTTAAATTGCATTGAATTTTAAATTTTGTTG